TTTTTTATTGAGAATTGGTTTGATGATGAATGAATAGTATTTGTGAATGGTGTAGAAACGTCTTGTAAAATATTAGTTTCTGAATTTTGAGATTTTTCGTATTGAACATTCTGATATGCCATTTCAATCACTCTCAAATGAGCACGAGAACGTGAATTTCTACGTTGATCTTTGTACAAAGAACTTTTTATGAATTGAGTGGTTTTTAGGGTTACGACCCATATCCTGTTATTACATAGTTACTACGAATTTTGAATATGTATTGCATACTGATTCAGTAAATCATAACACAAATAAGATAGGAGTAGATACATAATGCACTACATAATAATGAACATATGCTATTAGATTTCATGGAAGTACAACATGAATGATAATAACAAAAAACAAAAAACAAAAAGAAAAGCATATAGAGATGGGGCCACTTCTATTAACTTTTGGTAGTTTTATAGGTGCATGCATGGACTATTATAAATTAAGCAATATTTATTATATTATATATAATATTTATATTATTATATAATAAATAATATATTTATTATATTAAATATACTATATATAAGGGTAAATTACGTAAATATCTATTTTAGTTTCTATTATTACCAAAAATACCGAACACTTTCCGTTATTACTGATATGTCCCGTTTTTTGTACTTAATAATAATTGGTTTTAAAAAAAACATGAAACTACTCATTTTCGGTTTTTTGAAAAACTGAAAATTTTGAATTTTAAATTGTTTTTCTCTCTTGTGGGTGCTCTACATATTCTTTCTCTACCTCTCTCTCTCTCTATGTTACACAGGTAAAAATGATTATTTTTTTTAACTCTTTCTCTCCCCTTTACCCAACGTCGTTTTTTTCATGGTAAGTTTCACCTAGCATCTTGCGAGAGGAATTCGGTCTGGTCTGGATATTCCCATAGCTTGAGGAGCTTGATATGATGAGGGATCTCTTCTTGAAAGTAGGGAATCATGGGCTGGGTCATCAACACACTGAAGCTTTCCGCTCTCCTCTAATGCATACAAGCTAAAATTGAGTCATATTGAGAGGGCCTATCGAAACCAATCGAAGGTGAGAGCATAGAAGGCCTATAATGGCATTTTGCAACTGCGAATTCACCTTTGAAATAGGCCAAGAGAGCATTGTTGGGAGCAAAAGTGTTGGAAATTTGAGTTGGGGCAGGATTAAGTGGTTGCAAAAGTGTTGGGAGATTGAGTTGGGGCAGGATTGGGTGGTTGAGGAAGGGCATGAGTTCGATGATTAGTGCCATTAATGGAGGAGAGAGAGAGAGAGATAGGATTGGGGCGATGAGAGAGAGGAAGGGAAGTAATTAGATGTTCAAGTTGAGACCTCGTTTGCCCATCATAGATGCATGGAGAGAGAGAGAGGGGTTTCTTTTTTAATTCTAAATTTTCAATGGCGGAGGCTAGAAATTACATAAGGAGATGTCATTTCTACGTTTAGAGAGAAAAGTTAAGTAGTATGTTATTTTTGAAGATAGAGAGAGAAGCGTAGGGAATCCAGATCGTGTTGAAATATGTAGTTTTAATGTCATAAATTATCTCTGAAAATCTATCAGAAAATTTGAAAATTTGAGGGGCAAAATCTATGAGAGAGAGAGGAGAGAGAGAGGGGAAAAAAATTGAAAATTCGGGTTTTGAACTTGATTAGTCGATAGAGAGAGAGAACACGCAGAGGACCCACAAGAGAGAAAAAAAATTCGGCTATTCAAGAATTGAAAATTTTAAATTTTTGGTTTTTCAAAAACTGAAATTTCTTGTCATTTTTTAAAAAACAAAATATTATGAAGTCCAAAAAGCAGACATATCAGTAATAACAGAAAGTATTAGGTATTTGGGTAATAACATAAACTAAAACAGATATTTACATAATTTTCCATATATATAATAATATATTATTATTATATATGATATATATTTATTACATTATATATAATGTATACATATCTTATATTAAATTATAATAAATATTATATATAATACAAATATATAAATATTATATATAACAATATATTATTATTATAAGATATATATTTATATAATATATAAATCTATATACTATATCATATTATAATAAATAATATATTATAAGATATATATTTATATATTATATATAATATATAAATATATATATTATATCATATTATAATAAATAAATACAAATATATGTTTATAAAATATATAAAATACATTTTATTATATATAATATAATATTATATATAAAAGTTATTATATATTATATTAGTTTACAATATTATATATATATTATATACATTAATGTAGATATAAATATACTATATATATATATATATATAATTATATTAATAATTAATAAAAATTATGTTGTTGAATCACTAGAAAATTAAAATGCCATAATTACTATAGTTGCCGTGAGTATTATTGGTTAGGGGTTAGAAACACTATA